GGTAAACTAGCCTAGGTTACCCATAGCTGACCGGTTCAAACCAAGAAGGCCAATAGGCAGCTCCAAAAGGAATTGAACTAGCAACCTCACGATTGCTAGTCCAACTGTCCAAAAGGAAAATATGAAGTGTTTTTACTCTACTATGAAGTGGTTCATTGAGTTTTTTATTTTAAACTTCAAAATATTTCATCTTAGAATTTAAATAGTTGGAAAGAAAAAAAAAATTTATATTCTATTTTCAATTTGTCCATTAACAAGTAGCATTTTTGGCCAAACAAATGGACTTGTTACCGATGAATAAAGAATGTACTCAACCAAGGCATTAATTGTCCCTATTATTCCAATTGAATTGTGGTCGTGCTACATGTATACAATAATTTACATACACGTGATATTGTGAGTTATGATTGGATCAAATTTTTTTCAACTAAAGAAAAAATCTCACTCTTTTTTGACACATGATCTGTATGTAGATTATTATATAACTTCATTAAGTACAAGTAGTATTATTTATCGAATTACGATTGTGTTACATGTATATAATAATTTATATACACATGATATAGTAAGATTTGATTGGGTCAAAATTTTTCCAATCAAATAAAAGAAATAAATGTTTAGTGATATGATGAGATATGGTTGACTCTCCAATTGTTGTTACCGCTTAAAAGAGGATAAAGCATTGAGGAATATGGAAGAGGGAGGACTTGCGCCAAAATGTTCTAGATTTAGAGGATGTTTGGTGGGGATTAAAATTAGATTTTTTAATAGATTATAATAGAAGTTTTTGAAATGTGTGGTTGAAAAGTTGTGGGATCCATAAAAAATGTGATTAATATTGATTATTTGACTTGATTTAGATTAAAATCAGATTTTAATCCTTACCAAATGGGCACTTAGGAGTGGCATAGACAATTCAGCAAAATTTTCATGCAACATATTTCAGTAAAATAAATCATGTTAAAACTTGAAGTCATAACATTTTATTTGTTGTGGCCTTAAATTGAATTACTACGTTAAAAATTTAATAGTTTAGAGATTAAATAAATTTCTTCAATTAATATTTTACCTTCTAGGTTTGAAACTCATTTATTTTTAATCCTATGCTGTATTTTGTTGAAATTCATTAATATATAAGGTCTCAGTCATTATTAACTAGCAAATATATGAAATGTCAAATTAATGAATGAACTATGAAGTCTCTTTCTAATTCTTAGGAAGCTCGCATTTGAAATTGAAATTTCATCGTAAATTACTTTATTTGAATAGTTATTTGCTTATATTTCCCATACATTAATGAACGTTTTTATTTTTTCCCAATGTAAAGCAATGATTTTGCAGTTCTTATAATTGAATGTATAGAAAATTCAATCAATAATTAATCAACTACTACTACAAAAGTAACAAAACCTACATAAAGTAAGAAAATTAAATGCTAATCTATAAGCAAAACAATGCTCATAAATTTAGTGAGATTTGAACTCAACTTCCTGTAATCTTCTAATCTCAACAATATTGTTTTTTACAAAATATCGTCACCATTAAAAACAATGAATATTGTTGGAAATTTGAACTAAAAATTAGCAAACACAAAGCGAGTATCCAAATCTGGGTAGAGAAGATTCCTATAATCCGATTCATTGAGTAGAAACTCTAGATCATGTAACTTCATCAGAAAATGAAACTCTTTTTAAATTTTTATTTTTTGAATAAAATTATTATGAAATACAGTTGAAAAATCATTTTGTTTTGATCAATTTTTATTCAATCCTATGGGATTAGAATTAGAATTGCTCATTTTAATTTACTAGAAAAAGAATTAAGGAGGCCTATTACTTTTTATTATTATTATTATTATTTTTAACCAATGAATAGGAGGGAAAGACAAGTAAAAGTCTCTGATTGGAGAAGTTATTTTTGGAGGAAAAACTATATGTTTTTGGGATCTGCCTATTACCTAGTTAAAGACATTTAATGAACATGTCGAGAGAATGGGCATTATTGAAAATGATCATTGACATTATTGTGTAATTTATTGTATTTATGTATTGACACTTCGAGATCATTTATGTATTATTTTTGACAAAATATTATTCATGTCATAACTGTTAGTACATGTACATGAATGGATTATGTGAATGTTGATTGAGATAGTCATTTCGAAGATATTATTGTAATACAGTTATCGCCCTCGGGGCATATCCCAGTGGTGTAAAGGACAAGGGTGAGGTATACTCAGCCTTGCTGGCAGCCGCAATATGAGAGTTCGATTCTTGAAACATGAATTGAGACTCTTTGTGGGCACCAGTATATAGGCAGCTCTTGTTTCCTTGCCTACTGTGACACATCTTGCGATTAATCTCTCTCACGATACTCCAGGGGCGGGACGGTGGGAACCCTTAAGGTTGGGGTTCAACCTTTTTTTGTAATACAATTATCGAACTTCTCATTAATGTCATGTTAGTTGGGGACTATTATTGTTGTACATGGAAGGAAATATGTTGAAATAATGGTATACAACTGCCATGACTCTTATTAGTTTTCATTTAAGGATGACATATCAAGTTACCAATATATAAGAGATTTTAGCTTATGATATGTGCATTATCTTATAAACCACATAACGATGTAATATTACACGGGCCAAGTGAAAAAATGTTAGACCAATTAATTGTGGCCCATATAATATTATTAAAGAATTAATTAAAAATAGTTAATATTGCTAAAGTCTTATTGGTTCATTGAGAAGTGACCAGTTATTTTAATGGCTCATGAAACTATTTCTCTCTATGTCTTTAAACGTAAATGAAAAATATCAATTAAACGTTCAATTACAGTGAGGAGAAGGGAGAGAACGATTTCTTATTTTTCTCGTTCTCTTTTATTTTGCAGGTCTAAATTATTCAATTATTGCCATGAATCAAGATGTGTTTCTTGATCAATTAAATTTATATGTGAAAATAATGAATTCTAAAGATTTTGGCATTAAGGTTTAATTACTTACACAAACCTAAAAGCATTCCAGAAATTATTTTGGATTAGACCACCACCATCACCACCCACGCACTCCTTTCATCTCATACAACTGCTTCCGTATTAATAACGCAATCTACTTGAACAACCACATTTGCATTGAGCTTGAGGCACCCAGCAAACGATGGCTTCCACCTGATCAAACCCTTCACAACTTTCCCCACCACTCGATCGGACCCTTCCCAACTTGCCAAATTCTAACATTCTTTCTCAAAACCTCTAAAAATTATTATTAGATAGTTGTATACATATAGATATACATTCCATGTCCAATATCACATGCAAGTGACATGTGGGCTTTGTTTTGAGATAAGCAACAAAGGGTCCTCAAATAGTCGACCGTAGCCCACAATCCAATCAAATATATTTTCTCTTTTAGGACTGCCTGTAAAATAATGAACTAACAGATATGTGACCAATTCTTTGGGACCCCAAATTGTTCAAGTAAGGAACGGGACCAATACTTTAGAGTTTTTCAGTTGCTGTTTTGACAAATAATTGTATATTGAAAGAACATGATGCACATGGGAATAGCATGGGTTCATTGTCCTAAGATCCCATTAAAGTCATCTACTGTTTTTCTTTTTTTCATATCAACTTGCTTATGATGTGATTTTTTTTGCTATTCCAACTATTCATTCATCTATTTCCCTGCTTGAGCAACTTTAGAATATTTTCATCTTACCTCAAGAAAAAACCTAAAAAAAATTTAAAATTTACAACTCTAGAGTTATGTAGTGGACAAAACTCTATGTTACCAAAGGCAAAATTTTAGATCTCTTCTTCTTCTTCTTCAGAGTAAAGAACGTGAAGAACATTAATTTAATAGACTTTTGACAAAATATAGTTACGAATGCAAGAACACAAAATAAAAAGAAGTCAATAACTAATTAATTGTATTAATAATAATTTGACTAGAAGCTATCGCGTCTTAATCAATTAAATGTAAAATGATTTGTACTTATAACTACATGTTATGTACGTAAGATGAATTGAACAATACTGAGCTTATGATTGAGTCCCTTTTTTTTTTTTTGTTGAAAATGAGTTTCGTAATGGTGAATTTTTGAAAAATACGTAGTTAAAAGTAAGAAAAATTTCGAATTTACGTACAAAATATGTAATTGAAAAAACATATAATTGATTTTTTATTTTTATTTTTATTTTATTTCATTTTTTTTGCGCTAAACCCTTTATTGAAAAACATGAGCTCAACTCATTTTCTCTAAGCCCATTATCTAAAAACTCATTATCGAAAAACTCTTTCTTTCTTTCTTTCTTTTTTTTTTTTTTTTTTTTTTTTTTTTTTTTTTTTTTTTTCTTTTTCTTTTTTTTTTTGTTTTTTTGGCTAGCCATTATCTACTTTTGCCTTAAATTTGTAAATATTTACAAAACGCTGTATAAATAAATTTTCCAATAAAAAGCATTATATACAAGTGAGCTCAAATACATGTGAGATAATCTCAAAAATAAAAATATTATTATATCGTTTCATTCTAATCTAATACTACGTAACAAACATGCTATTAATTATCTGAAAAAGCATGCTTAAAGCCTTAAAACTTATTTATCTAAGTGGAGTGTGGATAATGTTTGGTGAGAAAAGGTGACTACTTACCAAATTGTAATCAAAGTTTCGATTGATTATTAGGGTCATTAATTATTATGACAAGCATTTTAATCTTATCCTCATGGCCAAGCTTCAAAGTTTATCATTTGATTATCTCCTAAGAAAATGGCATGCAGGCCACTAATTAACATTATTTATTTGGAATAATCACTCAAAAACAAGCTCGAGAAAGATTCGATTATTCGAGGGTTCGTAACAACGAAAATAACTGAAAACGACTAAATTTGTGTTTAGTATGAAGATGGTCGAAATTATTCCAATAATTTACTACTTTTTTAAACTTAATTTACCAATAATGACATTAAATGAGATTAAAGAACCTCGTAAGATTTCCCAATCAGTAAATAACTCAGATTTTATTTTAAGTCAATTAGCAGATTACAGAATTGTACGGACTCGTTAACCACACTAGCCAAAGAGAGGAGGTAAAAGAGGAAAATTCAGCCAAAGTACAAGAAAACTAAAAAGGGAGATATTAAAATAACATCTGAGATTTAATAAAATAAATAAAAAGAAAAGAAAATGCTGACATGGAGAAGTAAAAGGTAAAAGTAAAAAATACAGAATTTGACTCACTCCAGACCACTCTCTTTCTCTCCCTTTCCCAATCAAACCAACTCAGAGATAGCACTCTTTGTGGTGGCAGTCAGCGGGTTTGAGTCGGTTCGATTCACCAAGAAAATCATAACTCAGTTGACCCCGAGTTGACCCACCCAGTCAACTCTACTCTGGGGGTTTCAGCTGCCAAGCGGAGGTGGCGATGAGCGGCCGAGTGTGCCAACCCAGCATGAGACTCCCATCATTTTCTTCCACCCTGTACCCATCTCCGCCGGCGAACAGCGCCAGTAACATGCTCGCCTGCTTGAACGCGTTGGAACCCAGGTGGACCGGGTCAAACCCGGCCGAGTTCATCCTTCCCCGCCACTGAGACAACGTCTCGTGTCGCTCAATCCGGTCAGGTCCTTCACACGCCACCACGTTGCAAATCTGCCTCCCAAAGTAGACCTCGGTCATCACCAAGTCCTCGCTGTTGGGCTGAGTCAACCCGGAACTCTCCAACGAGTCGAACATCGTCGAATAGTAATGCAACGACTCGTTAAACCTGTCCAAAAACACATTTCCATTATGATTAGCCTCCTCTTCGACAATAGTCACGATTTTAGGGTTCATGGCTTTGATTGATTTTAGCACTTTGTCGATTCCACCGGGCCGGGCCAGTAATCTGTGCAACTCGAAAACCGAATTCACTGCTACAGCTTCCACATTACTAGGCTTGATGTCCAACATATTGGCATCAAGATCAGCCAGTGAATTGGCTACAAAGCCTCGGAATTTGAATTCCACGCCAATTTTCTCAGCCAATTGAGCCAATTTCCATCCTACTAGCTGCAGGGCATCTTTGTCATCGGGCTGCGGAGGCCCAATTCCAGTTAGCCTGAATTCTGGTGGACCGCCAGGCCGCAAAGCCAGAGCCTGCATCAGTGCTGGCCATTGCATCCCCTGCTTCAAACTGAAGTCAATCACATGAACGCTATTAGCACCTGCAAAGGCTTCAAGAATTGCCTGATTAGCAGTGAAATGCGCGAATTTCAAATATGGACAAGATTCGTAAAAGTGCATTTGAAGAACATCGGAATAGGAGGATTCAAGGGAATCTTGTGGATAAATCTTGTAAATCCTCCGGGCCAATGCTTCGGCGAAATAGGTGGCGACTTTTCTCATGGCTCCAACTTGAGAAACTGCTAATATACCAACATGCTTCACCAATGCGTCTGCTAGCTTCATGTTATCTCTTTGAACAGCCTCTGCACAAGCCATCAAAGTATGCACCAGTCTAACACCTGTTTCTTGTGAATCCACTAGCACCACTGGCCGTGCCGCCGCTAATGAAGCATTATCAAGAAATTCAGATCCAGGAGAAGACCTGAGTCTCTTAGTACCAATATCTGGTTCGTGATTTGGGTTCTCTTCATCATTCCGACTGCTACAAATCGCCCCACCAGGAATTGCTCTTAAATCATAATCATATATGACTTTTCTGTTTTGTTGTTTTGGCATATCATTGGAGAAACCAATAAGATTACTGGAAGATTCACCTGGAACTCCAATTTGTTGTGGGAGCACATCGAAATTACCTGTACTGCCTAGCTCGGACAACAAGCTCTCGACCCACCCGGAGAGATCAGAAGGGTTGTAATGGATTGTATCAGTAGAAAGATAGGAAATCCCATCTTCCATGGTAGTCAACATAGCCATCTCTAACTGCTCAAGCTTATTAGCTACATCCGCCATATCTGAAGATTTCACTTTGTAACCCAAAACAGCAAACAGTTCGTCCATTCCGGCATCAACCTTCGGCTGCCCTTCTTCCCAAATCTTCATTTTCCCGGCGGCTGCCGCCGCTGCTTTTCCTAGATCACGGTCTCTTTTCATTTCTTTTAAAAAATTAATTCGAAAATGGACTTGTTTTTGTTTTAGGAAACTGGGTTTGGATGCGCAATTGCCTCAAGAAACATGGATCATCGCAACTGGGCGGGTTGAAACTTGAAAGTCATGGTTTTGCTTGGTTTTTTGCATCACTTTATTGGTAAATTGGAATTTTCTTTCAAAATCTTGTATTAAAATAGAGGTGATGAAGTGCAGTGTAAAAGGGTCCTCGTGAAGAGGGCGCAAGCTTCAAGAGAGGAACAGGCAGGGCAACTGGAGTAGATAACGAAGACGAATCCAGCCATAAACGTAATAATTCGTGGCTTTTTTATTTTTATTCTTACAATAATAATTTTACCTGTTAAAAACCACTTTATTTCACTATCATTCAGTAGAAGCATATACTGATTATGTGCCCATTTTTGGCGCCTCTATTAATTCTAAAACCTTTAATTAGAATCCTCGATTATTGGGAGCAATTAGCAAACTAGTTCATATTCGGCAAAGTTGAAAATACAGTTTAAATTGGTCAAAATACCTTTTCTCTATATGTTCTATAGAATTCACACTTTAATAGTTACTTGAGCCTTGTTTTACTTATATTTTTTTAAAAAAATACATTCTTTTACAGTTAATTAACATTATTTTTACAATACATTTTTCAATAAAATAATATTACACGTAAATTTTAAATTTTTCTTAATTTGTAACTGCATATTTTTTATCAATACATTATTCAAAAATACATTGTTATTAAAATAATGTGGCTCAAACAAGAGTTTAGGGGGTGTTTGATAATTATTTTTATATAAAAAATGCATTTTAGAATAGTAAATTGATGTGAAATACGTGGTTGAAAAATACTGAATTTTTTTAATTTATATGTAATATTATTTTAATAAAAAATGTGTGGTGAAAAAGAAGATAAAGAAAAATATATTTTGAAAAAAATGGCTAACGAGACATTATAATCATTTCCAGAATGCTCGATAAACCGTACAAGTTCAATACGTGGTTAGTAATTTATAGGGGTGTGGGGTTAGTATCCATTTAAAAGCATCAAAGAGCCGTGGCAGTACCGCAATGCTAAAAAGATACCACAGTGATAATGTGCAGTGGTGCATATGGGAAGGACCATGCACTTCGAAATCAGGTGCTAAGAATTTATTGGTGGGCCCCTTGATTTCTTCTTCTCCTGTTGAATCTATCACCCGCACGACTCATTGCGAGTGATATACGTGTCAAAACTTAGGCCCTATTTGAACCCCATTAATTTAAATAAATGTATTATAGAATAGTGATTGATGGAAAATGTATGAATATAAAAGAAGGAAATATTTTTTATTTGTGTGTAATATTATTTTAATGAAGAACGTGTTATTAAAAATGAATATTATAAAAAAAATAATGAAAAAGAATATAAAGTAAAAGATGACAAATAGGGGCTTAAATGACTTACATATAGAGTCCGTTTGGTGCACATTTTTTAGATGAAAATGTATTTTAAACATCATATCGCAGGTTCCCCATTAGAGTGTAGAGGTCAAAAATTGTGTAATGATGTGACGGAAAAAATGCATTTTTTGTTCAAAAAATGAGTACCAAACAGGGGCATAATGCTACACTATCAGGGTAGATGCTTACGGATATTCTACAAGCCCTCTCTCAGTTGGTGGGTCAGCATTTTTTGTTGCAATTTTTTAACACATGCGAGTCCGACTTGGGGCCCATCTCATTGTGATGAGCCTGTACAAGGCTTGGTAAGTTTTACCTGGCAGACTAGCATTTTCCTAGGAATTAAGCCTATGTTCGGGTATAATTTTTCTAAAAACAATTATAATATGTTTTCCCTAGTGTTTATGTCGTCTAATAAGTAAATATATTTATGAAGGAAATTGGCTTCTAAATAGAGATCAAAACTAAGAGAAGATAATGACTATCAAAGAGAAAAGTAGCTCACATTTTAGGTCGTGTAAATTGTTGGGAATCTACTTATACATGCACAGCGGAATTTAAAATATATTTCGATTCCCATCCAATAGATCTCATTGTGTTTGGTTAGGAATTGTGATAAGATTGTACCTTTTCCAGATCTGCAATCCTTTTGCTTTTCTTTTCGTTCCACAACTTTGATTCGCCACCACAGCTGTCCAATTGTCCAGCCTCCAACGGTGATCCACACAGAGAATTTGATTGCAGCCTCTAGGGTTTTCTCTTGTGCTAGCAAGAATAATGAAAACCTTAATGGACCTCAAACCCTAGTTATGTATTTATATAAACCCAAATAGGCTCGGCCCGGTCCGGCCCAATAATTAATTAATTCAATTAATTAAACCCGGTCCGTGAATTAATTAATCCAATTAATTAATTCGAAAATATAAATAACAAATCCAATTAATTAATTTATCCAACGATTGTTAAATTAATCAATTGGCAATTTGCAATCTTCCAATTCTCTTTTGTGTGTGACCCATTAGGTTCCCGACCACGATGCCTAACGACGTGAAATATTATTTTGATCTAATCAAAATTGATAAATTAAAACACCCCTTTTAATTTATCGTCAATTCACATTCGCCGTCCCTGATTGACATCTAGCAATGTGTCAGGGCAATACATGTGACGGGAAATGTCACGTGGTATGACAAAACCAAATTCGTTCGTTTACCGTGAAACTATAATCCCTTCGTCAATATGATCCGATCAATTACGAGATATGGAGTTGTGTCAATCCCGATCATCGATCATATCTTTCACTCCACTATTAAGTCAATATAAATCGAAAACTCCTTTTCGACTTATGAGTACACCTTGGCCAAGGATTTCATCATTGACTAAATTGAATGAAACGCAGATCATAATCTCCTACTATCTAAGAGTGACGAATCCTTTATTGATCAATCACAACCTTCATCATGTCTTGAAAAATGTGAACTGAAGTTTGGCAAGATAATCTATTTTCTCCTAGCATCTAAACATCTACAGCTTTTTCACTCTTTTGTAAAAGATGAAAAATGATATGGGAATGCCAAAACAAGGAGGGGTCGGCCATCATGGTTTTTTTTTTTTATAGGTAAAAGTTCAAACTTTATCATAGTGAAGAGTGTAATTAAAAATAAAATTGTAAGTCCTCTCACCATTTTGAATTAAAAATGAATAGTTTGTCATACATCTTATGACCAATTGACCAGGATTTGATGACTAATTTATAACATAGAGACGTGGAAAACATCTTACATTTAGCAACACCAAATACTATATTGAAATGATACACTATAATTCACCTTGATAAAATTCTCCATGAACTATATGTTGTACCTAATGCGTTCTACCACATGTAAAATGCATATTTTTGTTAGGGAAAATAGTATAGGAGGTCTCTAACCGATACTATCTTGTTACTTTAATATTATAAATCGAGAATTTTAATCTCCAACTTCTCCCAATTTAAATGCATCAATTGTCCGATTTCACAAATTACTCTAATTAAAATGACACTTGAAGTGTACGTCTTGTTTTTACAAATGTACAAAGGCACACAAATAATTTGATTGAGAAAGGGAAAAATAATAATAATAATAATAATACAATATAGCTTCAACTCCTTCCCGACACCTCTCCCCCCACTTAATTTTGGACCACTGGACAACTTTTATGTTGCAACTGTTTTGAATCTACTAGTGCATGATGAACAAGTAACTCTTTAGAACATAACATGCGCACCTAAATGTAATTCGTGTTATCTCTAGCAATCTTAGATAGGTTTTGATATAATGTTTACTTTTGTTTTTGCTTTTACTTATGGAGGAAGCTAAATTTTTGTCTGAAAACTAATTTTCAAAAGAAAATAATTTCTATTTAGAGAGTATTTTTACATGAAATTATATTGGATCAATTTCATCTAAAATCTCTTTTAATTTCAAAAAATTAGTCAAACAAGTCCAAAAGTAACTTTTGGATATCAAAAAATTCATTTTGACTTTTCAAAAATCATGTCAAACGAACTCTTAGGGTGTCTTTGAAAGGTTTTTTGTTTCTCCTAGAAAACTTTCTTGAGAAAATTACTTTAATTAGTGTGCGAAAACCTAATTTTTTTCAAAAAAATTCCTCCTTCGAGAGAGTTTTCAAAGGACATAGAGATAGCTTTTGTTAAAAACTCTTCTAATTAGAAAAATATTTGATAAAATTAGTCAAACGATTACACAACAATTTTTAAATCTCAAAAGTTCATTTTGATTTTTTAAAATCGAATTCATTTTGATTTTTTAAAATCGATCCTTAATTTTTTTATTTTTTATTTTTTTTATTGATATAAAGTTAATCCCAAGAGAAAAGTGGGTTCGGAGGTGCGAGGCAAAGGACTAGGGCCAATGAAACGTTACACTGACACCTCCTCCACCCATTTACTGGTCCTCCACCACGTGATATTGCCACGTTTAGAGAATTCCTTTGTCGAGCTCCTAACAAGGCACGTCAATTCTTTGGCCCCTTTTCACTCTCTTTTTCTCATAACCAACTTTTCTCATAACCAAGTATATGTTCAAGTAAAAATTTAAATAAATAAAATTATTTTTTAATAGTTTAAATTTTTAAAGAAGTAGGTTGAATGGCAAACAAAGTTCTCGAGTTTAAATTTCATTGTGCCTATATAAGAAAATTTGTGCGCTTGCAGATGGTTGAAGGAAAATAAAATTAGTTTATACGTGAAGAGTCATGTTATATATAAAATTGAAGCGAATGAATCATTGTCTTTATTAGGTTAACGATAAAGTTGTTCAACAACATAGTTACATAATTTTTTTTATTAAAAAGCTAGTTGATACAAATATAATGATCCAAACATGGTATGATGGGTTAGGGAAATGAAATCGATAAATTTCTAATGCTAATGAAAACTAAGTAATCGAAACTATCTTGTCTATTTATGATGCTATAATTCCAAATGTTTGGCTAATCCTAAAGTGCTTGCCTATAATTCATGCGTAAAATTAAGTAACTTCGAGGAGAAATGAATAATTATTAGGGAAAATTACACTCAAGGTATCCGAACTTAAAAGGAACCACTAGGACGAGGATTATAGGAAATGGACTATCCATTCCTAGCAGTGCTATCTTTAGAGGTTGACTGAGAGACTGGTTCAAGAGATGAGGATTCAAGTACTGAAGTCATTATCGGGGGAAGAAGAAGAAATATGATACTTGGGTCCAGGTTCAATTCTTCCTAATTCATGCCTTCCCAAACTTTTAATTTAGGAGCGCGTGAATCTTGACCAAGTGACATTCATCAATTTATTATATATATATATATATATATATA